AGTTGTTGTAGTTGCTGACAGAATAAGACAGTTGTTGTAGTTGCTGACAGAATAAGACAGTTGTTGCTGACAGAATAAGACAGTTGTTGTTGTTGCTGACAGAATAAGACAGTTGTTGCTGACAGAATAAGACAGTTGTTGCTGACAGAATAAGACAGTTGTTGCTGACAGAATAAGACAGTTGTTGTAGTTGCTGACAGAATAAGACAGTTGTTGTAGTTGTTGACAGAATAAGACAGTTGTTGCTGACAGAATAAGACAGTTGTTGCTGACAGAATAAGACAGTTGTTGCTGACAGAATAAGACAGTTGTTGTAGTTGCTGACAAAATAAGACAGTTGTTGCTGACAGAATAAGACAGTTGTTGCTGACAAAATAAGACAGTTGTTGCTGACAGAATAAGACAGTTGTTGCTGACAGAATAAGACAGTTGTTGCTGACAGAATAAGACAGTTGTTGCTGACAGAATAAGACAGTTGTTGCTGACAGAATAAGACAGTTGTTGTAGTTGCTGACAGAATAAGACAGTTGTTGTAGCTGCTGACAGAATAAGACAGTTGTTGCTGACAGAATAAGACAGTTGTTGCTGACAGAATAAGACAGTTGTTGCTGACAAAATAAGACAGTTGTTGCTGACAGAATAAGACAGTTGTTGCTGACAAAATAAGACAGTTGTTGTAGTTGTTGACAGAATAAGACAGTTGTTGTAGTTGCTGACAGAATAAGACAGTTGTTGCTGACAAAATAAGACAGTAGTTGCTGACAGAATAAGACAGTTGTTGTAGTTGTTGACAGAATAAGACAGTTGTTGTAGCTGCTGACAGAATAAGACAGTTGTTGCTGACAGAATAAGACAGTTGTTGCTGACAGAATAAGACAGTTGTTGCTGACAGAATAAGACAGTTGTTGCTGACAGAATAAGACAGTTGTTGTAGTTGCTGACAGAATAAGACAGTTGTTGCTGACAGAATAAGACAGTTGTTGCTGACAGAATAAGACAGTTGTTGCTGACAGAATAAGACAGTTGTTGTAGTTGCTGACAGAATAAGACAGTTGCTGCTGACAGAATAAGACAGTTGTTGCTGACAGAATAAGACAGTTGTTGCTGACAGAATAAGACAGTTGTTGCTGACAGAATAAGACAGTTGTTGCTGACAGAATAAGACAGTTGTTGCTGACAAAATAAGACAGTTGTTGCTGACAGAATAAGACAGTTGTTGCTGACAGAATAAGACAGTTGTTGCTGACAGAATAAGACAGTTGTTGCTGACAGAATAAGACAGTTGTTGTAGTTGCTGACAGAATAAGACAGTTGTTGCTGACAGAATAAGACAGTTGTTGCTGACAGAATAAGACAGTTGTTGCTGACAGAATAAGACAGTTGTTGTAGTTGCTGACAGAATAAGACAGTTGTTGTAGTTGCTGACAGAATAAGACAGTTGTTGCTGACAAAATAAGACAGTAGTTGCTGACAGAATAAGACAGTTGTTGCTGACAGAATAAGACAGTTGTTGTAGTTGTTGACAGAATAAGACAGTTGTTGCTGACAAAATAAGACAGTTGTTGCTGACAGAATAAGACAGTTGTTGCTGACAAAATAAGACAGTTGTTGCTGACAAAATAAGACAGTTGTTGCTGACAGAATAAGACAGTTGTTGCTGACAGAATAAGACAGTTGTTGCTGACAAAATAAGACAGTTGTTGCTGACAGAATAAGACAGTTGTTGCTGACAGAATAAGACAGTTGTTGCTGACAAAATAAGACAGTTGTTGTTGTTGCTGACAGAATAAGACAGTTGTTGTAGCTGCTGACAGAATAAGACAGTTGTTGCTGACAGAATAAGACAGTTGTTGTAGTTGCTGACAGAATAAGACAGTTGTTGCTGACAGAATAAGACAGTTGTTGCTGACAGAATAAGACAGTTGTTGTAGTTGCTGACAGAATAAGACAGTTGTTGCTGACAGAATAAGACAGTTGTTGTAGTTGCTGACAAAATAAGACAGTTGTTGCTGACAGAATAAGACAGTTGTTGCTGACAGAATAAGACAGTTGTTGCTGACAGAATAAGACAGTTGTTGCTGACAGAATAAGACAGTTGTTGTAGTTGCTGACAGAATAAGACAGTTGTTGCTGACAGAATAAGACAGTTGTTGCTGACAGAATAAGACAGTTGTTGTAGTTGCTGACAGAATAAGACAGTTGCTGCTGACAGAATAAGACAGTTGTTGCTGACAGAATAAGACAGTTGTTGCTGACAGAATAAGACAGTTGTTGTAGTTGCTGACAGAATAAGACAGTTATCTGCTGACAGAATAAGACAGTTGTTGCTGACAGAATAAGACAGTTGTTGCTGACAGAATAAGACAGTTGTTGCTGACAGAATAAGACAGTTGTTGCTGACAGAATAAGACAGTTGTTGCTTACAAAATAAGACAGTTGTTGCTGACAGAATAAGACAGTTGTTGCTGACAGAATAAGACAGTTGTTGCTGACAGAATAAGACAGTTGTTGTAGTTGCTGACAGAATAAGACAGTTGTTGCTGATAGAATAAGACAGTTGTTGTAGTTGTTGACAGAATAAGACAGTTGTTGCTGACAGAATAAGACAGTTGTTGTAGTTGCTGACAGAATAAGACAGTTGTTGTAGTTGCTGACAGAATAAGACAGTTGTTGCTGACAAAATAAGACAGTAGTTGCTGACAGAATAAGACAGTTGTTGCTGACAGAATAAGACAGTTGTTGTAGTTGTTGACAGAATAAGACAGTTGTTGCTGACAAAATAAGACAGTTGTTGCTGACAGAATAAGACAGTTGTTGCTGACAAAATAAGACAGTTGTTGCTGACAGAATAAGACAGTTGTTGTTGACAGAATAAGACAGTTGTTGCTGGCAGAATAAGACAGTTGTTGCTGACAGAATAAGACAGTTGTTGCTGACAGAATAAGACAGTTGTTGCTGACAGAATAAGACAGTTGTTGCTGGCAGAATAAGACAGTTGTCGTGACAGAATAAGACAGTTGTTGCTGACAGAATAAGACAGTTGTTGCTGACAGAATAAGACTGTTGTTGCTGACAGAATAAGACAGTTGTTGCTGACAGAATAAGACAGTTGTTGCTGACAGAATAAGACAGTTGTTGCTGACAGAATAAGACAGTTGTTGTAGTTGCTGACAGAATAAGACAGTTGTTGCTGACAGAATAAGACAGTTGTTGTAGTTGTTGACAGAATAAGACAGTTGTTGCTGACAGAATAAGACAGTTGTTGTAGTTGCTGACAGAATAAGACAGTTGTTGTAGTTGCTGACAGAATAAGACAGTTGTTGCTGACAAAATAAGACAGTAGTTGCTGACAGAATAAGACAGTTGTTGCTGACAGAATAAGACAGTTGTTGTAGTTGTTGACAGAATAAGACAGTTGTTGCTGACAAAATAAGACAGTTGTTGCTGACAGAATAAGACAGTTGTTGCTGACAAAATAAGACAGTTGTTGCTGACAGAATAAGACAGTTGTTGTTGACAGAATAAGACAGTTGTTGCTGGCAGAATAAGACAGTTGTTGCTGACAGAATAAGACAGTTGTTGCTGACAGAATAAGACAGTTGTTGCTGACAGAATAAGACAGTTGTTGTTATCAGAATAAGACAGTTGTTGCTGGCAGAATAAGACAGTTGTTGCTGACAGAATAAGACAGTTGTTGTAGTTGTTGACAGAATAAGACAGTTGTTGCTGACAGAATAAGACAGTTGTTGTACTTGCTGACAGAATAAGACAGTTGTTGCTGACAGAATAAGACAGTTGTTGCTGACAAAATAAGACAGTTGTTGTAGTTGCTGACAGAATAAGACAGTTGTTGCTGACAGAGTAAGACAGTTGTTGCTGACAGAATAAGACAGTTGTTGTAGTTGCTGACAGAATAAGACAGTTGTTGCTGACAGAATAAGACAGTTGTTGCTGACAGAATAAGACAGTTGTTGTAGCTGCTGACAGAATAAGACAGTAGTTGCTGACAGAATAAGACAGTTGTTGCTGACAGAATAAGACAGTTGTTGCTGACAGAATAAGACAGTTGTTGCTGACAGAATAAGACAGTTGTTGCTGACAGAATAAGACAGTTGTTGCTGACAGAATAAGACAGTTGTTGTAGTTGCTGACAGAATAAGACAGTTGTTGTAGCTGTTGACAGAATAAGACAGTTGTTGCTGACAGAATAAGACAGTTGTTGCTGACAAAATAAGACAGTTGTTGCTGACAGAATAAGACAGTTGTTGCTGACAGAATAAGACAGTTGTTGCTGACAGAATAAGACAGTTGTTGTAGTTGTTGACAGAATAAGACAGTTGTTGTAGTTGTTGACAGAATAAGACAGTTGTTGTAGTTGCTGACAGAATAAGACAGTTGTTGCTGACAGAATAAGACAGTTGTTGCTGACAGAATAAGACAGTTGTTGCTGACAGAATAAGACAGTTGTTGTAGTTGCTGACAGAATAAGACAGTTGTTGCTGACAGAATAAGACAGTTGTTGTAGTTGTTGACAGAATAAGACAGTTGTTGCTGACAAAATAAGACAGTTGTTGCTGACAGAATAAGACAGTTGTTGCTGACAGAATAAGACAGTTGTTGCTGACAAAATAAGACAGTTGTTGCTGACAGAATAAGGCAGTTGTTGCTGACAGAATAAGACAGTTGTTGCTGACAAAATAAGACAGTTGTTGCTGACAGAATAAGACAGTTGTTGTTGACAGAATAAGACAGTTGTTGCTGGCAGAATAAGACAGTTGTTGCTGACAGAATAAGACAGTTGTTGCTGACAGAATAAGACAGTTGCTGCTGACAGAATAAGACAGTTGTTGTTGCTGCTGTATGTCACCATTTTTATTCTGGACCACAGCACAAGGCCGGAATGTAAAACTAAATTCCTTACTGCTAGCTTCATGAGGATTAAGAAGATGTTGAAATGTTCACTAGAAAGTCTACAAGAAAGCTAAGATGTTTAATTTTACTTGTAAATCTTCGGGGCTGGGCAAGAAATGTGTGGGGAAGAACACGAGCTCGCTGGAAACAAACTTGACAACTTCCGACTTTTGAGTGCACAGAGAAAAATTCACTGTTCCTGGCAGGCCCTGTGGAATCCAATAGAGCGCCGACTTTGAACCAATACACCAAGGTAGGTCATACTCGTAGGGGGTTCATATTCAGTCGTGCAGTAAGTGCAACCAGTTGTAATATGGTATTAGGTCTATGTCTTAATTATGTTATTGGCATTCGTGTTTCTACTTATAAAGACGTACGCTATGAAATATATACAATTTTCTCGGCCAAAAGTAATACAAAGTTCTTTTAAAAAACAACATAAATACCATTGAACAGCCGTGTTTTTAACGGAATAATTTAAGTCTCTGAATTAATCAGTGTGTATGGTATTGTGTTGACTAATAATGTATATAACTTGGTTTTTCTAATAGGTGTTGATAGCCGGTGTTATTTTTAATGTGTCGGATTTTTAGCTAGTTAGTTATTTTTTTGCTTTGTTACTAATATCGTTCGACGTGTAGTTAAGCACATTGCATTTTGATCAATTACTATTTTATAAAATACAAGCCGACCCACGGCGTAGCATGCGCTGCTATTTAGTTGTTTTATTGTCTACTTTTCAGTAATTTATAAGTTTTAACACTACCAATGCTGCCACGGAAAATATTTTGCTTGCTTAAAACACTATCAGTAGCGCGTGATGGGCGATTATTTCTCCCCCCCCCCCCCCGCGTGAAATCAGCCGTCCCTGGCGACATTTTACAGACGACAATGAAAAGATTAAGCAGAACTGGCTACCTTCCCTCAGTTTCAAAACATTTAAAAACTAAATTATCTGCCCTAAATAGCCGTCACCAATTCGACCCGGCTCTACGATTGTAAACATTGGGCATGAACCACAGCTCACTAGACTGGTGGGGGTGTGGGTGTGGGTGGGGGTGTGGGTGGGGGTGTGGGTGTGGGTGATGACGATATGGTCTGTTGCGCATGCCTGGAGAGCGAGGGAGGGGCGGGAGGAGGGTAAGCCAGCTTGCTGCGTCATAGTGTCCTTGAAGAGAATCTATTCTTCTATCTATATATATATAATTCTCTTATTGGAGACGTTAGAAAACAAGCTGTAAGCGCGCCTTGCATTCCCCTCTCTTCCTCTCTAGGAAGTCTGGTGAGCTGTGATTCACGCTAAATGTTTACAATCGTAGAGCCGGGTTTAGTGACGGCTATTAGGGGCAGATAATTTAGTTTGAAATGATTTTAAACTTAGGGGAGGTAACTGAGAGGAGGCTGCTTTCACGGGGGGGGGGGGGGGGGTTAGGGGAAAGGAGAGGGGGTTATCGTCCTTAACGACTTACTGATAGTGTTTTAAAGCAAATATTTTCAGGGACAGCAGTGGTACTGTCGGATTCACAAATTATGAATTACTGAAAAGTAGAAAAAATAAAACAACTAAATAGCGGCGTATGATACGCCGCGGGTCGGCTCGTTATATATAAAGAACATATAGATTTTTCTTAAACAAGTATAACATTAAAATATATGTCTATATGTCACGTATAACGGGTACCGACGGCTAGTACTGTCACTTGAGTCTGACTGCCCACAGCCCTTTTATATAATAAAAAACTCATGTATTCTTTTTTATTGTAGAGGCATCAAGTCATAGATTATGCTACAGAGGCATCAAGTCATAGATTATATTGAAACAGTTTGATGAAAACAAATCTATGAAATCATCGTCTAATAAACTTACATTGTCTCCCTTTAAAAGGCTGATGTTTTGAATTTCGGCCAACAGTTTTCTCTCCAGTGCCTCCATCCCCACTGTCAAATTCTTCTTTTCATTTCGCCATTTTTTCATCTCGTTCTGCAGCGGCTAAAATCAAGTGTTGAATGTATAGTTTGACCACCCACAACTACAGACATAATCCTAGTACTGACTTGGGTATAGTTTGACCACCCACAACTACAGACATAATCCTAGGACTGACTTGGGTAGAACTCGCTTTCTTACACTACCTCACAGTAAGGTCTGCTATGTACGTAGAATCACTCGACCATTAGGTTCGACTTTAAAAAGGTATTGGACAGCCAATCAAGTTACAGATCTTAAGGTATTAATAGATCTCAGCCAATCATGTTACAGATCTTAAGGTATTAATAGATCTCAGCCAATCATGTTACAGATCTTAAGGTATTAATAGATCTCAGCCAATCATGTTACAGATCTTAAGGTATTAATAGATCTCAGCCAATCATGTTACAGATCTTAAGGTATTAATAGATCTCAGCCAATCATGTTACAGATCTTAAGGTATTAATAAGTATCAGCTTTAAATGGGATAAGATAATGAGTTTGTTACCTCAATACTGTCCGTTGGAAGTTTTTTCCCCAATTCTTCCAGTAGTATTTTGTGCTGAGCAATAAAAAATAAAAACCGAATTAGCAGCTAAAATAAATTTGGACTGAACAAAATGTATACTGTGTTGTGCATACAGTGAACTGAGTGAACTATCTTTTTAGTAGCCATAAAACCGTAAATCTTATGAGTGAACTATCCTTTTAATAGCCATAAAACCGTCAATCTTATGAGTGAACTATCCTTTTAGTAGCCATAAAACCGTAAATCTTATGAGTGAACTATCCTTTTAGTAGCCATAAAACCGTAAATCTTATGAGTGAACTATCCTTTTAGTAGCCATAAAACCGTAAATCTTATGAGTGAACTATCTTTTTAGTAGCCATAAAACCGTAAATCTTATGAGTGAACTATCCTTTTAGTAGCCATAAAACCGTCAATCTTACGAGTGAACTATCCTTTTAGTAGCCATAAAACCGTAAATCTTATGAGTGAACTATCTTTTTAGTAGCCATAAAACCGTAAATCTTATGAGTGAACTATCCTTTTAATAGCCATAAAACCGTCAATCTTACGAGTGAACTATCCTTTTAGTAGCCATAAAACCGTAAATCTTATGAGTGAACTATCCTTTTAGTAGCCATAAAACCGTCAATCTTACGAGTGAACTATCCTTTTAGTAGCCATAAAACCGTAAATCTTACGAGTGAACTATCCTTTTAGTAGCCATAAAACCGTAAATCTTATGAGTGTGAACTATCCTTTTAGTAGCCATAAAACCGTAAATCTTATGAGTGAACTATCCTTTTAGTAGTCATAAAATCTTTTTAGAATTGTTTCATACAGGGCCTACCATCTCGGTCAAGTTTTGAATTTTATTTTGTAAATAGGTGAGCTCCAAATGTGTCTGCTGTGTTGTAGTCTGGTTGTTGTCTGGTATTTCTATTGGGTGAAAACATTTTGATTAGCAATCAAGACACAATGTTTAATTTTTTAAATTGGTACAATTTAACTTATATATATATATATATATATATATATATATATATATATATATATATATATATATATATATATATATATAACACCAATCCACCATATTTATAACCAATCAGCCTATTTCCTACCTTAAAAAATGAAGCGACAGTGAGCTCCCCGAAACGTTTTCATAAATTTGTATATAAGTAATATACCACTCATATATTTGTATATAAGTAATATACCACTTATATATTTGTATATAAGTAGTATACCACTCATATATTTGTATATAAGTAATATACCACTCATATATTTGTATATAAGTAATATACCACTCATATATTTGTATATAAGTAATATACCACTCATATATTTGTATATAAGTAATATACCACTCATATATTTGTATATAAGTAATATACCACTCATATATTTGTATATAAGTAATATACCACTCATATATTTGTATATAAGTAATATACCACTCATATATTTGTATATAAGTAATATACCACTCATATATTTGTATATAAGTAATATACCACTCATATATTTGTATATAAGTAATATACCACTCATATATTTGTATAGGAGTAATATACCAGTAGGTGTTTGGGTTGCAGTGATACTACCAGTGGAACTGACCATGCTAGACAGGTTTGTGACAAAACTAATAAACCGTTTTGGAGATAAGAAAGAGGCAAATTTTGAAAAAATGAGCGGAATTCTATGCAGCAAATTTTGCTAAAGAGTTTTTGAGAGAAGATCTGACAATAAGGGGGAGCTGTAGCTCGGGTCAGTGTGACCTACACGAGACAGGATTGGACATTTCCCAGTCCACAATTATTCCCATTTGCCTCTGTTTGGCATAAGGTTGACCTAGTTTATAAATGCAACCATTTGACCCACTTTTGATAAGGAAAATATTTGACCTACTTTTATACAATGCAAATATTTGACCTACTTTTATACAAGGCAAATATTCCTAATGCAAGTGAGGTGAAGGACACGAGAAAGACGATGGCAAGAGCTATGACGTAGTGAACTGAGCATCGATTGGCTAGATGTTGAGCTGGGACGACCTTGGCTTCGACTTGTAGCTGGGAGTAAATGTGGGAGGACGGGAAGGGCTGGTCACCGGAAGGGCTGGACAGTGTCCTGGAAACACAAACACATTCAGCTAACGGATCAAGTCATTCTCTTTGTTCGAGACTGAGAAGAAAAAATTAAGTTCAAACTTACTCGGCAATAGAAATGGGTATCACGTGATTATTCTCTGGGTTGTGGTTGGGTAGGGCTGGAGGTGGACAAGTGCTCCGGGATTTACTGAACTCAATTCAATCACGTCAAAATTAACAAAATAGAAAAAAAAATATTTCAAACAGTGTGTATTGAAACATTATATATATATATATATATATATATATATATATATATATATATATATATGTAACGGTCAAAGCCCGAAGTGCGGCCAAAGCGCGGATTGGCCGGCCAATCCGCGCATTGGCCGGCTCTCTTGGCCAAAGCCCGAAGAACTTAGCACTAAGATCGTATTTCGTACATTGGCCGGCCAATGCGCGCACTGGCCGGGACGTACTGGCCAAAGTCCGAAGCGCTTAAACTTGTCAGCGTATTTTGTACATTGGCCGGCCAATGCGCGCACTGGCCGGGATGTCCTGGCCAATGTTCTATCTAGACTAAGTTGTGATCGCATTTTCATTATTCTGGGTGCGTTTTCATTGAGAGTAACGTATTGTTTAGCTCTTGTTTGTATAGCATTCTATATGCAAGACGACATGGATCAAAAGGGCCGTCAGACCATGAGACAGACATAGCAAATGGCTGTCAAAAGAAAAAAAATGTAAATCCATGTTAGTTTCATATAAAATAGTTACTGAGAAAGATCTTGAGAACATTGAACAAAAAATGGAGGTTGCCATAAATGCAACGACATCCTCAGCTAACCCATCTGCTGCCGTGGCGGAACGTCCAGACCAGTTGCGTGACAATAATGTGGCCAACAGATTCTATATAGTTTGTGAAAAACATTGTAGTGCAGCTCATTCTTGTGGATCCTGTGGCAACGATGTCCATCAGATCAGCAGCTCATACTGGCTTGCAAACTCAAGGTGCTAAGATGCTTAAAGCATCAAATATATAATTTAAAGATGGTGAAGTGGGTGACAATGTACGCATCCGTTTTCCAAATGTTGACAGAGGTCACGGTGATCCCCGAAGCGTGATTGCAGTTGTCATGAGCGTCGAGGGCGGTTTCTACAAATTAGGAACGGAACATGGTGTTCTAAAACAACTGTATGCTAGAAGTGAGTTTTCAATTCTTCACGAAAAACTGCTCTTATTGTCGTCAGTTGGCACTGATAAAAATCACTACGAACCATCGCATCTTCACAATCATTGACTGGGGGCCAAGGCTGCACTCGCTGCAATTGCACAACTAAGTGCACAACAAATCGCTGCAAGTGTAAAAAATAACAAGCTGCTATGTAATTCTAAATGCCATAAAAGTTCAACTTGTTGTAACAAATGATGATATTGATAGATTGAGACTATAGTACAATAAAAAATTTGAATGTTTCTGTCATTTACTTTAATTAATAATCAATAAAGACTTAATTTCGTGATCCTTACGGCATTAAAAAAACAAAATCTGCTCATGATCTTTTAATTCGGACTTTGACCGGTCGTCCCTAGCCAGATGATCTTCTAATTAAGACTTTGGCCGGTCCACCATGGCCAGTCTGCGGATTGGCCGGCCAAAGGCCGAAATCAAGCAAGGTTTCGGACTTTGACCGACCTATGGGAGGCGATATTGGCCAATGCGCGGATTGGCCGGCCAATCCTAGCATTGGCCGACTTCGGGCTTTGACCGTAACATATATATATATATATATATATATATATATATATATATATATATATATATATATATATATATATATATATAAAACGGTCAAAGCCCGAAGTGCGGCCAAAGCCCGCATTGGCCGGCCGATGTGCGCATTGGCTGGCTCTCTTGGCCAAAGCCCGAAGAGCTTTGCACTAAGAGCGTATTTTGTACATTGGCCGGCCAATGTACTGGCCAAAGTTCGAAACGCTTAAACTTGACAGCATATTTTGCACATTGGCCGGCCAATGCGCGCACTAGCCGGGATGTCCTGGCCAATGTCATAACTAGACTAAGTTGTGATCGTGTTTTCATTATTCTGGGTGCGGTTTCATTGTGAGTAACGTATTGTTTAGCTCTTGTTTGTATAGCATTCTATATGCAATGCAACATGGACCAAAAGGACCGCCAGATCAAAGACAGACATACCAGATGACTGCCAAAATAAATAATCCAAAAACTAATGGAAAAGAATTTGTGAATCATGCTATTTCTGAACTAAAGAACATGTGGCATAGACTTAAACTAGTTCACAGAAAACCAAGGCATAGCCAAAGCCAATGTTCAGTAGAACGTGCCAACTAAGATGTTCAAAACATGATGATGACAAGGATGCAGACAAATGAATGAGCTTATTGGGCTGAGAGTCTTGAATTCATTCAATTTATGAAAAACCGTAATTTTCATCAAGGAATCCAACAATCGCCATTGAAACCTTGTTTGGGTGAAAAGCAAATGTGGGACTTAGCACTTCAAATCTACCAAGAGAGGCTCTCGATAATTTAGCTACTGAGGAAGATCTTGAGAACATTGAACAAGAAATGGAGGTTGCCATAAATGCAACGACATCCTCAGCTAACACATCTGCTGCCGTGGCGCAACGTCCAGACTGCGTGACAATAATAAGACCAACAGATTCTGTGTAGTTTGTGAAAAATATTGTAGTGCAGCCCATTCTTGTGGATCCTGTGGCAACGATGTCCATGCAATATGCGGAATAGCCAATGAAGCAGACTAAGGGTACGCAGGGAACATTACTTTCAGGATATGTCACAATAAACAAGAATCCATGGACAAGAGGTCAGCATCTTATACTACCTTGCAAACTCAAGGTGCCAAGATGCTAACAAAATTTAAACAAACTGAAGTTGGAGATACTGGTCGCATCCGTATATCAGATGTTGACAGAGGTCGCGGTGATCCTCGAAGCGTCATTGCAGTTGGCATGAGCGTCGAGGGCGCTTTCTACAAGCTAGGAACGGAACATGGTGTATTTAAACAACTATATGCAAGAAATGAGTTTTCAATTCTTCACCAAAAACTGCTCTCATTGTCGCCCGTTGGCACTGAGGTAAATCACTACGAACCATCGCATCTTCACAATCACTGACCGGCGGCCAAGGCTACATTTGCTGCAATTGCACAACCTAGTGCACAACAAATCGCTGCAAGCGTAAAAATAACAATTTAATTCTAAATAATAATCAACTAAGACTTAATTTTTATGATCCTTACGGTATAAAAAAAAATCTGCTCATGATCTTCTAATTCGGACTTCGACCGGTCGACCCTAGCCAGATGATCTTATTCGGACTGGCCGGTCCACCATGGCCAGTCTGCGGACTGGCCGGACAAAGGCAGAAATCAAGAGCCATTTCAGACTTTGGCCATATCGTCATTAGTAGCCAGTCACAACACAAATTTTCAAAAGTTCGGCCCAATTTCTAACTTTTATGAAAACTAGTGGGTAAAATCGTGTGGCAGTGTCCATGCACGATCACTGGTAAAACATCGTCATGATCATTGTAGGTTTACACGTCGTAGACTAACAATCGCCTTTCCTCCTACCCTGAATGACGTTGATATAGTATAGAGTTTCTTTCAAGCATCTTTTGATAAGGGGGGGGGGGAGCGAAAAAAGTCTACCCCCCGGACAAAATGGAATTTATATAGAAAATTTAAACTTTTACCAGTGCCCGACCCCCCCCCCCCCCCCTAGTTTTTTTTCTTTCATGTTACGAATATTGTCCGCCAAAAATAAAAACAATTGTTGTATATATATGTATGTATATATATATATAGTATATATATATATAGTATATATATATAGTATATATATATATATATATATATATATATATATATATATATATATATATATATATATATACTAGCGTACCCGTCCCCGCGCGTTGCCGCGGGAATAGAAGAAAAGTCTGATGAAATATATAAGAAGGGTTTCATCCATGCGTCACCAATCCTATATTCTTAGACTCGTGACCTTGTGTTCTAAAAGTGAGTTAATTAATGTAAACAATGCCTGCGCTTGGATCATGAATACCGGGACACGGGTTTACCTACACTACCGCATGAAAACCTGAGTGCACATTAATCACTCACCGAAATAATGATGTAGAACACACTTCGGTGACTGCCCATGTGTCAGGAACGTAGAGGGGCGATCTCAGGAACCCCCCCCCCCCCCACGATTACACTACCGCATAGGCTCCTTAAAACTAACAGACGCCATCGTGCCAAATAACGCCATGTTAACAATGATGCAGATTGCCTCATTCGCTAAAGTGACACAAATGAACAGGATTTTTTCTTTAACACGTTAACAAATTATTTGACGTGTTTTGAACATCAGTGTGACTGATGCAATATGTTAACGTTACTAATGGTCTATTATTAGATGCTCGATCTCAATTTCTGATAGGATTGTCTAAAAATAGATGCTTATTGCATCATTCGCAAAGTGACGAAACTGTTTTGATTTTTTTACGGACAAAAAGAAACATCCCAGTTAATAATCTAACCTTGGTTAATTTTTCTGATAATTAAAAATAAAACGTATCACATGGCCCTCAGCGGCCCATGTGAGCCTTTGGGGGCCGAAACTGAAATTTTTGTTTGCAGCCGCCAAATCACACCCTACCATGGCGCCGGCGGACACGCCTGATTCAATTTATTGAAGGTTTGTAACGCCCCATCCTATCCATTGTCTTTCACACTGTTTAGATCGATCTTAGTCGCCATAGCGCTCATCGGAAAAACCAGGGCGCCAAAATCGCATCCTGCCGGGGGGCCGCCCATTCAAAATTATATTCCCCTCCCACCATCCCCCACCACAGTAACCTTCTCGTGAGTATTCATTAACTCCCTACAGTTTTATGGCAATCGGATAAACTGTGTCGAACCGAAATCGTCTTTTATTTTTATATACCGTATATAGAGAAAAATCAGACCATCGGAAAGTTTGATGGCGATCGCATGAACGGTGTATACCGCAATCGACTTTTATTTTTATGTACGGTATATATAGAAAAAAAAACAAATAGCACCCTGCCGGGGTGCCGCCCCTGCGAATTTGAATTTTTTTTCCCGCAGAACCCTCCCCAAAAATATTCTCAGCAACTTCCCAAAGTTTCATGGCGATGTGATGAGAGGTGTAGTAATGCATAAAAGACAAACACACATACATCGCTTTATATATATATATATATATATATATATATATATATATATATATATATATATATATATATATATATATATATATATATATATATTTTTTTTTTTTTTTAAATACTTTTATTTGCAATTAAAACAAGTACATCAACATCACATTTTTTACATAGTTTTAAATGAAAACGAAAGGTTTTGAATATATATATATATATATATATATATATATATATATATATATATATATATATATATATATATATATATATATATATATATATATATGTATATATATATATATATATATATGCGTATATATATATGTCGTTGACATACTTCAATGGATTTAAGTGTTAGATTATTATCGTGCTCATAGTCTACATTGATGAGTTAAAAAATTACTATTGAAAGTGTTGGGAAATAATTTTCATTTTTCAAACTGATATTAATAATTGTCGGCGTGTTCATTAAACACAATTTAAAAAAAAATATCATCTTTTACAAAAACTCTAATTATGTCTGAAAATTATTTATATTTAGTCCTTTAGCACTTACTTCCCTTTGATAAATTAGGAAAACACAATTACTTCCCTTTATAAAATATTGCATTAGTGGAAAAGAATTTACTTTTTATTACTTTGTTTTGGTGTTGGGAAAAAAATAATTACAAAATTAGCGGGGATTGATCAAGTGCAAATGTTGTAGGTATTTTACGGATAAGCTTGGAGTATTATAATTGGTTATTTGGTTTGGTTTGGCACCTACGTTCGTTTAAGTGAGTGCAAAAGACTATGAATAAGTTGGGGTACTATAGTCGTTTATTAAGCTGAAACAGGCGATTCTGTCCCGGGCTAGACTGTGAGCACTTTGCGTTTATGTTTTCTTTGTCTTTAGATTGGGTATGCATTAGTGGTTGCGTTTTGATTTGGTTCGTTTTTTTGTTCTTTCTTTTTTCGTTTTCGTTTCTGTTTTTTTTCTTTGGGTTTGTGTTTGTATTTGTGTTTGGTTTTGCGTTTGGATTTGGTTTGTTTTCGTTTGCTTTTTCGTTTGTTTTTTTCTTTGTGTTCGTATTGGTGTTTGTGGTTGTGGTTGGGTTTGTTGTTAGGTTTTTGTTTTCGTTTGCTTTTTTGTTTGTTTTTTCTTTGTGTTTGTATTGGTGTTTGTGGTTGTGTTTGTTGTTAGGTTTTTGTTTTCGTTTGTATTTGTAATTGTGTTAGCGTTATGTTTGCGTTTTGTTGTTTTGGTTTTGGTGGGCAATGCCGGGTTTATGATGATTACTAAACACACAGGTAATGGTCTTTAACAGAAAGGTTTTTCACAGAAGCCAGAGCAGGGCCTGGCCGGGACGGCTAGTATATATATATATATATATATGAATAAAAACCTTCTGATCACAAGTCTTTAAGTAATAATGCACACAAAAGAGAACATAAATTATTTTCTTTATATATATATATATATATATATATATATATATATATATATATATATATATATATATATATATATATATATATATATATATATATATATATATATATATATATATATAGGCCTATATATATATATATATATATATATATATATATATATATATATAATAGTTTACTATTTAAATAACTATAAAGAGTGAGTCACTATATAATTTATTGGATACTTTACTAATGTCAGTATTGTCAGGTCTAGAAACAAATACAGCTACGGGTATTAAGCTTAAGTATAGGTATAGTTAAAGGATAGGTAAGGGATAGGTATAGTTACAGGATATGAAAGGGATAGGTATAGTTACATATGAAAAGGATAGGTACAGTTACAGGATATGAAAGGGATAGGTACAGTAACAGGATATGAAAAGGATAGGTATAGCGACAGGAATCGGCTAGGAAAATAGGTTTAAAAAGTTGACATGATATCAAGTCTCAAGGACGAAGATCTAGAACAAAATAAATCAAGGCAAATAATATATCTGACAAATGATCTCAGACATAATATATGTGATACTGCGAAAAGATTAATTGAGTTATTTCACGATATTTAAGTTCCAGCAAAAAAAAAAGGTGGCTGAAACTCTGATTGAGTAAGGCGCATTGTTTTCCACGCACAGTAAAACTTCAGGTTCAATTCTTACGTTACATCGTTACATCCTTACATCGTTACATCCTTACATCGTTACAAATGCAATGAAAACAGGAAAGACAGACCTGTGGTTACCGAACACCTCGATGTCTTCATAATGTTGTTCTAAAGGTCTACTGGTAGCGTCTCGATCATGGCGTCTATTGGTATCGTCTATATGTATCGTTGGCTGGTATCGTCTATTGTTATCGTCTATATGTATCGTTGGCTGATATCGTCTATTGGTATCGTCTGAAAAGCTGTCGCCCATGCCTAAAGACATTTAAAAATCAAATTCAACATTTGGAGTGCCACTATACAGACAGACCCATTCCCTAACGTTATATCGACTCCCGATAAAATAACTTCCGACCTATTGGCTCGCAATAGCACCCTTCTCCCCCCCCCCCCCCCCCCCCCCCACTCTTTAAATTTTTTTTTTATCTTTTATAAAAAAAAAAGCATAAGCCTTCAATTAGAAAATATATTTTACGAAGGCGACTGACTACAAGATCTCGATATTATCCCCCATTGGGGGGGGGGGGGGGGGGCGTTAGCAGTGTTTCTTCCAGTCATCTCTTCTTGGGGGCTCCGCTCCCCCCCCCCCTCCCCCGAAAGAAATGGAATTTATTTAGAAAATATATCCTTTTATTTATTGTCAGTCAAAGTTGAGAAAATATTCAAAATCAGAAATACAAATGAAATCTCCTTAATTAACTAAACATTTATTTTACTCAATATTTGATTAACAAAACATTAAATTAACACAAATCAATAAGGGAAGTGGCCAAATCAGACTATCAATAAGGGAAGTGGCCAAATCAGACTATCAATAAGGGAAGTGGCCAAATCAGACTATCAATAAGGGAAGTGGCCAAATCAGACTATCAATAAGGGAAGTGGCCAAATCAGACTATCAATAAGGGAAGTGGCCAAATCAGACTATCAATAAGGGAAGTGGCCAAATCAGACTATCAATAAGGGAAGTGGCCAAATCAGACAATCAATAAGGGAAGTGGCCAAATCAGACTATCAATAAGGGAAGTGGCCAAATCAGACTATCAATAAGGGAAGTGGCCAAACAACCGAGATCTGAACTCGAGACTTTCGGGCTTGCAGCCACACGCTCAACCATTCGGACACGCCTTCCTTGGAATCGTATGACGATTGAAGTCCTTATTACGGTTACATGTAACAAAAGATGCGTATTTTATAAAGACAATTCATTAAAATCAATTAAGATTCTTAATCTTTGCTGTGAATCATAATTATTATTTTCTTAGATTATCCCCAACCCTAATCCTGAACAGAATCCTAATTTCTAGACCTAACACATAACCCTCATGCTTTAAAATTATATTATTAATACCATTAATACCATTTACGCTAAAAAAAAAAACCCATCTCAAACCTCCAATTAGTCTCTCAACCACGGCGACACTCAAAGCATATGTCAAAATATTTGAGTATTATTTCAAATCAGTCCAAATTCCGTTAAAAATATTTGAGTATTATTTCAAATCAGTCCAAATTCCGTTAAAAATATTTAAGTATTATTTCAAATCAGTCCTAATTCTGTAAAAAAATATTTAAGTATTATTTCAAATCAGTCCAAATTCCGTTAAAAATATTTAAGTATTATTTCAAATCAGTCCAAATTCCGTTAAAAATATTTGAGTATTATTTCAAATCAGTCCAAATTCAGTTAAAAATATTTGAGTATTATTTCAAATCAGTCCAAATTCCGTTAAAAATATTTAAGTATTATTTCAAATCAGTCCAAATTTCGTTAAAAATATTTAAGTATTATTTCAAATCAGTCCAAATTTCGTTAAAAATATTTGAGTATTATTTCAAATCAGTCCAAAGTCCGTTAAAAACTCTTAAAATATCTTTAGATCACGTGACAAAATACGCACGTTAATTTCGTCACTTATTGACCGAAATGAGCACATCCAGAAGTTTTGGTATACACGGCCATATACACGGCCATATACACGGCCATATACAGAGTCATGATGAGACCTGCGTCAACAAAATCAATGTTGCCATGGAAACCTGTCTCACCACGACTGATAGTTGCAAGAATTGAGTGCTAAGGACTGTAAGACTAATGTCATTCAATGACTTGCGCCCACCAATACAGCGTCAGAAAGAGAAAAGAGAATAATTCTACAAGAATTCCATAGGAGAGATGAAGATGATTCGTTGACTCAACATTTATGTGACACAATTGAATGAACTAAAGACCGGATGAGAGCGTGGGTTAAAGGTCAAGTAAATAAGCTGACCCGAGTCAATTCTCCCAGTTTTTAGTGCAGTCTCCGTCAACTCGCTGTACGAGGGCGGGGCTAGTGGCTGGAGGTACACGCTGTCGTCTGAGATGGTCGGGTCAGCTGACACGTAACCACACTCGCTCCACCTCCCCTCGTGGTCACTGGTGCGTTGGTCAACATCTGCCATTTCCCGCCTTAAGTTCTGGAAGGTGTGAGCAACTGGCAGGTCATTGACCAGGGGAGTCAACTCGCTATCAATGGACGCATCGTTCAGTCTGAAAACAAATACTCTGTTAACACATCTGACTCAAGCAACTGACACAACTGACTCAACCAACTGACTCAATCAAGTGACTCAACCAACTGACTCATCTGACTCAACCAACTGACTCATCTGACTCAACCAACTGACTCAACCAACTGACTCAATCAAGTGACTCAACCAACTGACTCATCTGACTCAACCAACTGACTCAACCAACTGACTCAATCAAGTGACTCAACCAACTGACTCATCTGACTCAACCGATTGACTCATCTGACTCAACCAACTGTCTCAACAAACTGACTCAACCAAGTGACTCAACCAACTGACTCAACCAACTGACTCAACCAAGTAACTCAACCAACTGACTCAACCAACTGACTCAACCAACTGACTCAACCAAGTAACTCAACCAAGTGACTCAACCAAGTGACTCAACCAACTGACTCAACCAACTGACACATCTGACTCAACCATGTTGGAGTGATTGTGTGAGTGACGTTTGAATGATTGTGTTAGTTCGAGTAATTGTGTGAGCTATGTTTGAATGATTGTGTGAGTGACGTTTGAATGATTGTGTTAGTTCGAGTGATTGTGTGAGTATTGTTTGAATTATTGTGTGAGTGACGTTTGAATGATTGTGTTAGTTCGAGTGATTGTGTGAGTTAGGTTTGAGTGACTGTTATCTGTTTTAACACATATTTAACTCCACCTGATTAAGATAAAAACGAGTAGGCAGTGTTGTAACGTTCTGGTATATTCGCCGCGTTAGACCATGTCAAGAATTCCTACCTTGTCTGTTTAACGGAAGTTTCTTCTAAAGGAAACTGAAAATAAGCGTTGCTCATGTTGCTAACTAATTACTGTACACTGTGATAAAAGTTTGAGCGGGGATACTATCAATCTTCTGATGCTGTATATCCTCTCAGCCACTACTGCATAGGCCGGTATGTGCAGTGAACAGGATGCACAGTCGCTACACACTTGCCTGTTGACACCCGTCAGCTGTGTCTCGGCCTACTTTCTCAGACCGGATGAGCCGACCATAGTGAATAGCTGCTGTCTTCAAGTGCTAGGCCGAGTTTCGGGTAGTCCAAATTTTATATATTTCTTCAACCCTAGTGCAAACCTTATAAACATGGGACCCAAGCCTAAGAAACTAGTTCCAAGAAACATTGATTGTTATTATGTTAAAATTAAACTTTAATCCTTCTTTGACCGCCATCTGTTCAGAGTTTCTTCCAGGCATCTCTTCGGGGGTGGCGAAGCCCCCCCCCCCGAAATTTTTTTACCGCCCCCCCCCCCCCCCGAACGGAATGAAATTTATATAATTTATATAGAAAATATATACTTTTAACAGTGTCCGCCCCCCCCCCCCGAAGAAAGTTTACCGCCCCCCCCCCCCCCCCCGAAAATTTCAAGTGCCCCCCCGGAGAAAAAAGTCTGGAAGAAACACTGCATCTGTTAGTATAATTTGCAAAAGAAAAGCGTGGGTCTCTTAAAGATATCCAATAGACCATTATATTTATTTAAATATATTACTATATAAAGAAAATAATTTATTTTCTACTTTTTAGTGAATTATTACATAAATTAAAAGCTTATTAAAACGTTTCTATACAATTTTTTTCCAACATTAAAATAAAAACATACTTTTTTCATTCCGATATAACGTTTTGTTTTTTACTTTCTCGTATACAGATAGGAATTGTGCAAAATAATCACATGAAATTTGAGTTTTCAGTTCACCGTTTTACTTCTTAGTACTTCATCATATACGGAGTTCATGTGACTTATTTTAATCGGGCAACAATTCTAAATCCAGATTTATCAAAATCTAGGCGTTTTACGCGTAATCGAGTCGGAAAAACTGCTTTGCAATTCTGTCCGTATGAATGTATCTATATCAAATTTGTAGTTCTGTATCATTTTTTCAGCGATTTCCGAAAACCAAAGTGGAACTTATATTCTACTTTCGGTTTTTCAAAAGCCTATAACTAGAGAACTGTTTTAAATAGATAAATGAAATTTCATAAGTAATAAGTAAAAGATCTAAGGGGTCGTCCATAAATGACGTCACACTCGTAGGGGGGAGTCCGTAATTTTGTGACGGTGAGTGATGAAGGGAATGGGGGGGGGGTTCAGATGGTGCGACGTCACACTTTTGCATTACAAAAAAGCAATATTAGAAAACAAATTTTAGATGTTATTTCGCGTTTTGGACAACTGTTGTAATAGGAATTGATTAAAATACTCTATTTTGACAGAGTTCAGACAAGATTTTAGAAAAATATCGATGTTTAAAAAAAAATTCAACTGCAATTTTGAGGGGGGTTGTAGGCTGAGGTGTGTCGTCATTTTAGGGGGGAGGGGGTTATGGTTTTTTGTTACGACGTGTGACGGAGGGGAGGAGGTAAAAATCGTCAAAAAAGCGTGACGTCATTTATAGATGACCCCTAATCGTCTGCTTTCTGTCAAATTTTAAGTAATTTCCATTGACCGACAGTAGTAATTTACGCTATTTCTGATTTCTCAAAAAAAAATCTAATAAAGATTTTATAAAGTACTAATATTCCGCAATATTACAGACAAATTGTTTGCTGTTCACTTGTTGCGCAGTTCTTTTTTTACGAGATTCTATTCCATTTAAAAAGTTTAAGTAATTAAAAAATTGATTGAAAATCACGTCTATATTCCGAGTCGCCCTACACCGTATATAAGTATACTAGCTACATACCCGTGCTTCGCCACAGTAAATCTTTTTTTTTAATGTACAAACCTGGGAACTGAACACAAAAGAAAATGCAAACCCAAACACAAAGCAGCACGCAAACACAAATACAAAAGAAAACACAAAAGCAAACACGAAAAACAAAAAACTACAAAAGAAATCGCAAACACAAACAACAACACACGCACAAACGAAAACACAAACGCTAACGCAAAAGAAAAACAAACGCAACGCAACCCAAACTAAAAAAAAATACAAAAGAAAAAAGCAAACACAAAAACAACACAACACAACCACACAAAAAAACCCTCAAACGCTAACACAACACACACAAAAACGAAAACGCTAACGTTACACCCAAACACAAAAAAAAAAAATGCAAACACAAAAGAAAACGCAAACTTTATTTAAAAAAAAACAACCGCCGAGTATTCCAACTATAATGTCTTCATCGACGTCCGCGCAATTTTCATTCACATATTACTTTTTCGTATACGAAGCATAGAGAAAGTAACTTGTATCAACTTTTCAGCGATTTCCGATAACGGGAAGTGGAACCTTTTCTACTTTTAATTTTTTTTACCATTGCAGGTAGATAAATGAAATTTCACACGTAAGTAAAAGATCTAATTCTCTGCCTTCTGTCAAATTTTGAGTAATTTCCGGTGAACAGAAGTAGTAACTTGCGTTATTTCCGATTTCTCAAAAAGCGCATGTGAATTTATTAAGTACTAATAATATTCAGCAATAATTTTACACATGTTTGCTGTTCACTTGGTGCGCAATTATTTTTTTCTTCGAAAAAATGGATTAACAATAGTCTATATCCCGAGTTGCCATCCCTCGTAGTGTTATATAAGAATATTCGAGAAAGTTTAGGGGAGATAACTCCCGGTTTATTTATTTAAAATAACTAACAATATTTAGCGTGAGTTGAATTTCTTTTTAAATTACATCCCATGGCATAATTATTAAACATTTTAATTTTTTTTTCCAACTCTACTGTTATAAAAGTATCATTTTTTTTCCCAAGAATCTAAGCGAAAATATTATTCTACATTGATCCGTTTAACATGTTTTAGCAATGTGCGTGTATCTAATTTCTTCACTTTATGCGCAATAGTAATAAATTATAGACTACTATTTAAATAACTATAAAGAAAAGCGTGGGTCACTTTAGTATCTATTGGATACCTTTACTAATGTTAAGGAAGACACCCACGCTTTTCTTTATAGTTATTTAAATAGTAGTCTATAATTTATTTTCTACTTTTTTAGTGCATTATTACATAAAAGCTTGTTATTAAAACGTTTTTGTTATGAATTTTTTATGCTTTTTCGTTTATACGAAGTATAGAGAAAGTCTTGTAATCGTGCAAAAAAAAATCGAGATTTTTACAAATCTCGACGTTTTACATGTCACTGATACGGAAAAACATAATTTTGCAATCTTGTCCGTATGTCTGTCTGTCTGTGTGCCTGTGTGTGTGTGTAAACACGATAACTTGAGTACCGTTACAGCTAGGTTGCTGAAATTTTATATATAAGTATTTTATCAAAATCGTAGATCCGTATCAACTTTTGAGCGATTTTCGATAACCGGAAGTGGTACTTTTTCTACTTTGAATTTTTCAAAAGCCTATAACTTGAGTACTATTTCAGATAGATAAATGAAATTTCACATTTAAGTAAAAGATCTAATTCTCTACCTTCTGTCAAATTTTGAGTAATTTCCATTGACCGGAAGTACTAATTTACGCTATTTCCGATTTCTCAATAAACGCATGTAAATTTATAAAATACTAATAATATTGCGCACCATTATGCACATTTTTTTTTGTGTTCGCTTGTTGCGCAATTCTTTTTTCTGTGAGATTCTATTCTATTTTTAAAAGTTTAAGTAATTAAAAATCATGTCTAATTTCCAAGTTATATAAGAATATTCGAGAAAGTTTAGGGGAGATCGCTCCCGGTTTATTTTTCAATACTTTACATGTTTTATTTACAATAGAGTTACATGACTAAAAACCATTGCGCGCCTACTGAACGTGATGGCGCAGCCATTGAACGTGATGGTGCAGCTATTGAACGTGATGACGTGTGTGGTGTGGTTGGATAGACATGCCTACTAATTCGGTCCAAATTTTAATTAATTCATAAAAAAATTAATTAGGCATCCAATTAAGTCGAATTTAATTTCAGATTGCATTGTCTTTATGTCTTGACCCACGTGCCAAGTGTGAATCGTATCGATCAAGTAGAAGTTTCCGAATTTTCACTCCGGCGTTTCGGTCTAGACAGACAGACTGTCGAGGAAGTGAGTTAAATAAAAGCTTGTAAAAAAAATTCATAAAAAACGTTTTAATAACAAGCTTTTATGTAATAATGCACTAAAAAGTAGAAAATAAATTATAGACTACTATTTAAATAACTATAAAGAAAAGCGTGGGTGTCTTCCTTAACATTAGTAAAGGTATCCAATAGATACTAAAGTGACCCACGCTTTTCTTTATAGTTATTTAAATAGTAGTCTATAATGTATTTTCTACTTTTTAGTGCATTATTACATAAAAGCTTGTTATTAAAACGTTTTTTATGAATTTTTTTTCAGTACTTTACATGTTTTATTTACAATAGAGTTACATGACTAAAAACCATTGCGCGCCTACTGAACATCACGTTCAGTAGGCGCGCAATGGTTTTTGAACGCAGCCATTGAAGCTATTGAAGGTGATGACGCGTGTGGTGTGGTTGGCTAGACATGCCTACTAATTCGGTCCAAATTTTTATTAATTCGTAAAAAATTAATTAGGCATCCAATTAAGTCAAATTTAGTTTCAGATTGCATTGTCTTCATGTCTTGACCCACGTGCCAACTGTGAATCGTATCGGTCAAGTAGAACTGTCCGAATTTTCACTCCTGCGTTTCCGTCTAGACAGACAGACAGAGGAAGTGAGTTAAATAAAAGCTTGTAAAAAATTCATAAAAAACGTTTTAATAACAAGCTTTTATGTAACAATGCACTAAAAAGTAGAAAATAAATTATAGACTACTATTTAAATAACTATAAAGAAAAGCGTGGGTCACTTTAGTATCTATTGGATACCTTTACTAATGTTAAGGAAGACACCCACGCTTTTCTTTATAGTTATTTAAATAGTAGTCTATAATTTATTTTCTACTTTTTAGTGCATTGTTACATAAAAGCTTGTTATTAAAACGTTTTTTATGAATTTTT